TCAGCAGCTATAATTAATACAAGACAGTTGAAAAATTTAATTCTGTTTAATTCATTATATATTTTTCCCTTTCCAGAGACCCATGTGATGTGGTAGAAGCTAAAAAACCATGTCTTGTCATTCAATATTTATTAAGTGAACCAAAATAGCCTGTTTTGTAGAAAACAAATTTCATTTTGCCTGTCATATTACAACATAGTACCAGTCTGATCTGTTGTATAGTCTCACTGAACCTGGTGACTTTGAAGTATACTGTGTATACAAATGTCTTGCTGTAAGCAGTCCTGTGTGTCAGCATGTGTGAAGACCAGCAAGAACTTGCCATTCAGAGAAATACAGGGCTGTGAAGAAGGGCAGAGAATTCAGTTACCTTTTCTTCCTTATTTAGGTGCTGCAGAAGAATATGAAAGTAGTTCAACAAGGCAAATTATACAAGAACAATTCTTTTCAGTATGTTCTGATGTGTGCAAACATGACATATTTAATTAGTATTACATTCTATCTCTTATAAGAAATACAAGATTCTAGATAGGATAATTATCTTTTAACAACATACAGCTGTTAAACTTCTCAGGAATATGGTACCCAGCATTGGTTCTTAGAGCACGTCACAAATAACCACTTTCACAGCAGAACATTTATAAATGTCATGTCATGGAAGACAAAAGCTACTGTAGAAAAAGGGAAACATTTTAATTCTTATAGATAAAGCAAGGCCTTAGAATCTCACACCTGTGCAGCAAGCAAAAGTGATTAAAGGCAGAACAAACAAGCAAAAACCTTGCATTAAATAGATCATGAATTTGCTTGTGGGTCTGTAACAGATGTGTTACTAAGGATGCTTTGTTTATCCAGTTGCAAGACTGTCGAAGAGAATCATTCTAGTGATGCTGCTTATCATGCTTTTAATTCTGCTCAGGCAAAACTGTTAGCTTTGAAAAAGCAATTTTTTTGGCCCTACTCTATCTGGCTGCACAGAATTTTCAAAGCACCACAACGTTGTAAAAAATGCCCTTTTAATCAGATTACCCTTGGCGGACGTCCCAAACTCAGGCTGAAGTGCAGTGCTTGTGGTTTCTCAACAGCTTACACTAAGCCTGCACCATGGAAATAATCTACTTTTAAAACCCAGGAAACAAATCGACTGCACTAAGGACATAAGTCGCTGTCATTAGGGAGTGATTAAGCTAAACATTTTTATACACTCTGGTAGCCCAGTTTCATATTGTGTACCTCTGTGCTGAGAAAAAGAATGGCACCCCAAGTAATTGCTTGTTTGATTCAGGCACCCCAAAATTATTTGGTCTTACACAAACTAAACTTAATTTTCCTCTAATAAGTACAAGAGGAAAAAAGAGGGGGAGGAGGAGATTTGCCTTTAATGAATTAGAAAATACAGTAAAATCAGCTTTACAAGCAATAATTCAACTGAGGATCATGAGTTTGATTAAAGACTGTACACGATATTTTTTGACACACATTAGCCTCTCCTAAAAATCCTGTCACCTTATATTAAATTACTGCTACTTGTTTTATACAAACATATTTCCTTTAATAAATAATTTATATTGGAAATTCTGTGTGTTTTTGAAGAGGCAGCTACTATTTTTACAATTTCCCATTATAATGCTAGGTCTTCATCTTTCTGTGATGTTGCATTTTTCATAGTGGGAAAATGTGACATTGAGAGATTTGAACAGAAATTACTGAACCTCCCCCAATTTCCCTCTAACAAAACTGAAAAAAAAAAGGATACGGATGTGACGCTAATCAAATTATCTGGCATCTGAGACAATCTTGCTGTTTGAGTACTTGCCGATCCTAAAGAAGAAAGGATCTAGATGTCAGATCCTGGTTCATGAAGGTGTGTTTATGGGAGGGAGGGTTGTTTTTGTTTTGTGCCTAGGTATGAGCTCAGGTCTGACATAGATAACATGTTCAACTGGTCTAAGGTACAAATCAGGTCTGTTCTTGATCCCTACTTTGGACATTCTGCTGATAGTTCATTTCTAATTTATGAAGCATGTCATTAATCCTCAATCTGTCAGCCTTTTTTTGACAATAATTCAGTCTGACAGTTGAAGGATTAATATTTATTAAACACCCCGTACTTTAGAAGTCAAAGAAATGCTCAATTCATTTTCGCGGCAAAATCTTCCAACTCATAGCAAGCACTATCCCAAATCCTTTCGTGCTCCCTAATAGCCAGACAAAACCCAATAGACAACACAATGGAAATAGATAGAAACAGCAGATGACCAAAAGAACCATAAGAGAAACAAAATAAAAAGAAAAAATATGTAATTACAAGTAATCTTTCAAAAGACTTGGTAGTGGATTCATTTAAGGTATTCCTCTGCCCAAGCATATGTTTTCTCACTCTTCCTTCCTTCCAGCCCTCCCCCTCCCTTCCCCACTCATAAATTATTCATAACCTGATAAATATGCAATTTCAAAAAAGTGCAGACACGGCAGCACTGCATTAAAAAAAAAAAAAAAAAGAAAGGCTTGTGCTTTTCACACAGAAGACCTGAGCTGCACTTAACGGATGACAGATTTTCCAGTATTCAAAAGCTGTATTATATATATGATAGGAGTAAGACAGTATTGCTGGTCTGATTCCTTGCTAGACATGTTGTGAATTGTCTGTGGAAAGCTGTAACATAAAACAAATGGTGCTTTTGGTTTGGTTTGGTTTGGTTTGGTTTGGTTTGGTTTGGTTTGTTCTTTTCTTTCCTTTTTGAAAGACAATATATGGTGAAAAGCAATGATGTTCCCACCATTTAAAGTTTGGCTCAGTGTATGCTTTCAGGTAATTATAAAACTGGGGAGTGAGTACTGCAGGGGAAGGAGCACGGCCACACATTTTCTCATGTACCAGTGCAGAATTTGCAGGTAGAGCACGTGCTGTACGCAATTCTCCAGTTATCCCACTGGGAAGGTCTCCCTCCTCCCAGAGTCCCCCTAAGCAGTGGCCACTTATGGGCCATCGTGTGAATGCTCTTCAGGGGCCAATTTCACAGGCTCAGCAGCAAAGTGCTGTGCCTGCTGCTTGCATGCAGGTAAAGCCCACCAGAAGTAAAATGCAGGATGAGGAGCGGAGTACCTCCATTTTGTGGGCTAATTGCTTGATTACCACACTGAAACAAAATGGAGGAAAGATTTTTTTTTTTTTTTTTCTTTTTCTTTTTTCTTTTTTCTGGTGAAAGGAACCCTGGGCTGATGTGACAGGAGAGACAAAGTATCAGGAGAAAAATAGTGCTTAAGGAGCATCAGTCATAAAATCACTAATATGAATTGGAATATGAGAAATATAGATAATGTGTACACATTCTTAGGGCTAATAAATGCACAGGACTCACGTACAGTTGATCTTTGGGTTTATCAACAGTTAGAACATAAAAATGATTTCAACCCATGATGTGTAACCTTTTGGATGAACATTTAAATTGGAAACACCATGGGTAAGAAATAGACCTCAGCATTTAATTTGGACTGGTTAGTTGGAAGCCTTTATTTACTGTAAAATAATTTAGAATTTAATTAAATAACACTGCTGATGCCAGTCACATCAGCACTGTAAAGATGATTAATTGCGTGCTTAAATGAAATATAAACTACCTTTAAAGTAACATCAATGAAGAGTCCTGTAAGCAGACACCATATGATAGATTTAAACACATAAGCCTACCTGCACCCCTTAGAAACATGCCATGGTTAAAAAAAACAGGCCCTACATTTAAATGTAGCAGTTGTACCAAAACCAGAGCCTTTTATGCGTTTCTGTTTTTCAGGCAAGCCTGATCTATTTTTTCCCCCCACTCTGGAAATGCTTTTTTTATTTTGCAGGAGAGCTTTCACATGATTTGCATTGTCATCTCATGGGCTGGCTATCGACAGGCAAACAGGGGCTGAGGCACTGTAATACAGGGCCACACTGTCACAACAAGGCAGCTGGACGGTGACATATTCCACTTTGTTTCCATTGTATTTCAGTTCTCAGAAGAGCAGGACAAAGGGCCTGACAGAGTTAACCATGGATTGTCACCTTGATTTGTCCAGTCTAGCAGATATGCAGAAATGAATGGTATTCTGATTATAAACAAAACACAGAAACAAACAAGCTGGCAAACAGCATTTTCCAGACTATATGTAGGAAAAAAAAAATAAAAAGAAAAGAAAAAAACATTCAAGTATCTTTATAGATGCTACATCCTCCATGGGAGAAATAAAAGCAGGAAGAATCCTCAGATTACCACGCAGAATAAGTAACACTGTCTGTCGAAAACAGCAGAAGAAAGATCTCTGACTAAGGACTGGGTTCTCTTTGAATAATCTGCATCATGTTGGTTTATTTTTCAGGAATGCTATGACAGTGCTTCAAAATAGAAATTTTTATCATAAATGTAAACACTTTGGGGCAGGGAACATTCCCTGTGTATGATAAACTTGTTTGTGGGACTATATCCTTAACAAGGTACAGGGAGGTGCAGTAATACACATGTGGAATATAGTAAACAAAGCATTTCCTGAAGAGGTACCAAATTAAAATCTAATTTTCTAAAAAAGTAAAACCAGTGAATGCAATTAAATTTCTACTCTTAATATAGCTCTGAATTAAATATAAAGAGTGTCATATTTAACGATTACTACTTAGAGAGATGAAAAGCAGGCAATTGCTGAGGAAATTCAGTGGTGAAGCAAGAATTATAATTAAAATCCATGACTGCTCTCTTTTTTAATTTGAACAGGTTCAAAATTTAACAAAATCATGTACAAAAGAAATGAAAAAGAAATCTCCAGCTTAAAAAAATAAAGGAATCAGTTGTCTTTTGCCCTAATTTCTGAGTATATGAGAATTCTGGGTTATGCTTCTGATCAGTAAGGCAAATTGAACTGGAAAAAAAAAAGGGACATGACTCAAATGAGCAAAGGTCACTTCTGAAACACCTTAATTTTTTATAGAAGATGAAAACAACCAGCAAGAAACCTCGTTGTGGTTTCTGACAACCACGTGTTTATTAACTACATGAAAGACATAATCAAACTCTCATTTTGCTTATACAACATACCTCACCAGAATAGACAAAATAGTTGCCTCTGGAAAAAAAAAAAAAAGAACGTTTAGAAACACGTCATTTATCTGTCTTTTTTATTTATGAGATAAGCCTTATCAGAAGATGTGGTATTACATATCACAATAATGTATTCACTTCTGAGCATGCAGTATTTTAAACAGACACGAAAGGCTAAATGTATTTATTATTTTAGCATTGCTGCTAGTTTTTAATAGTAGATTGGAGGATTTTTTGAATTTGTGTACACGTTTTGTTATTTCACTTGGTGTGCATAAATTCTTTTAACAGTGCAAAAACACACATTAAAATATAACATGCCATAGTACAATTGTAAGTATCTACTTGAAGCTATATTATGCATCAGAAAAGGAAAAAAAATATATAAATCTTACCCACATACTGGAATGCTAATGTGCATCCATCAAAGGGCTACACATTCATAGTAAAGGCTGCAGCCCAAATAAAGCCCCTTGCATTACCGCATACATGCAAAAATGTGGAAAAAAAATGGAAATCTCTTTTTTCCTTTACCAAAATTGTTTAGGAAAACCTATGTACGCCAAAAAAAACATTTATTGTCCAAGGAGAAAATTGCACAGATTTGTCTTTCCTTGGAATTCTATGCAGCCAACCGTAATAGCTCTTTGACAGTTCACCTGACTGCAGCAGAAATGGGAATGTGATGGTTACAGTGGATGACAGAAAGGGGCCATTTGAAGTGCTATTATGCAGTTTACATGAGAAGATTTCCACAGATTTTGGTTTTATTTAGTTATGTTATGTATTTTTTTTGCTTTTTTTTTCTTCTTTTTTTTTTTTTTTTTTTTTTTTTTTTTTTTTTTTTTTTTTTTTTTTTTTTTTTTTTTTTTTTTTTTTTTTTTTTCCCTTTACCTAGCAGAGTATGCCTTATAATAATAAAGAAGACATTATTTTCTGGAGCTACCATATAGGAAAGACCTTAAAATTTTATTAGTATTTCCAAACTGGCTTGGGAGAGTCACTGTGCTTCACTACTAAAAATGGAAGAGTTCTATTTTCTCTTGCCCTGATCACATTTTAAAAGACTGTTATGTATGTTTTATTTCGTTAATCTTACCCAGCAATTTTAGATAGACTAATATAAACCAGGTATTGTATATTCATACTTTAGCATAAGTGGAAGAATATTTTTTTTTTTTAATACGCACATTTGTGGGATGTTGGAAACCTTTTGAATGTTAAGAATTGAAAAGTATATCTTGTAAACCTTAGAACCTGAAAAAATAATCTTTGAGCACCTTTCTGGAAAGACCGAAATCTGCAAGCTCTCGTTAGGATAAATAGTCTAACTGAAGCTAATAAGTCTTCTCAGAAGAGTAAAGCCTACTCACATGAGTCAGCACTTGCAGCACCGAGCCGTGACTGTTAGGCATTGTATGGAAAGAAGCAAGGAGTTTTTGCTTTATGGCATTGCTGTGCTGCACAGGTCTCTCAGTTCAGGAACAGATGAGCCTAAACCAATGAACAAATACATACAGTCATTTTTTGTGTCCAGATAACATACAGAAAAACATGATGGTGACATGCTGGTTGCTTAACACTGAAATGTTTAAAAGGAATATATATTCACTGTGTAAGAAGATAAAAGGATAAAAGTGATAATGACTAAGCTACGCTGTTCTAACTTACTCTGCATCTGCATGTGATTTATAATTTTATAAAGGAGAGAATACAAGGAACTGTACCTTTGATATATTGTTAAGCAGACCTTCTATGTTTGTATTTTCTGCATAAGGTCAAGACTGTAGACATGGGATTAATCAGCTGTTCCTCCTAAACCATTAATCAGGATAAATTTTTGTTGGTTTCATACAGTACAGTCACTTAAATATAAAATTAAATATAGAAAACAGAGAAATAGGTGAAACCAAGCTGACGTTACAGGCAGTAATTGCAATATTGGTATAATGACAGATCCTTTCTGCTTTTGCATTTTTAAGAATTTCAGCAGTAATTACAAAAACCAATATTTAATTTTTCTACCATTTTCTGCAAATGCAATGATTCTTTGAAGCATATTGTTCTCTCAGAGCGTGATATTTTATTGAAATGTAAAAATTTTGCACCTCTTTCTATAAACACATTTCTTCCTATGTGTATTTTGTCCAATTTACAAGCAAAAAAAAGATTCAGTTATCTTCTGCATGTCTTCTAGAGAACATACACCTACACATAAATGTAGCCTGCCACCTGCATTGTTGTTAGCTTATTTGTCAGGCTGTACCTTGATAGGATTTGAGAATATTGGGTGCAAAGTGTCTTCAGGAAGAGGGAGAGAAATCATTCACCATTAGAGATAAGTATGACAAGCTCCCTTTTACACTAGGATACACTTGTATTAAACAGAATGGCGGGGTGCCTGAGTGAGATAGCATCTATTACCAATGATGACATGAAAATGGACACTTATTAATCACTGGTTTCAAAATAATTATCTATAGCTTTATAAATGCTATAACTAAGGCCAGGTTCCCTTCCTAGGCATTACCTAATATTCAAAATACTGCTTTCTCATTACAGTTCAAACTGAAATTATTTGGTAAAGCAGGTGTTAAAAGTGTGCAGCAAATATGTAAGTTATTAATTATTAAAATGTTAATATAAAACAGACATTGTATAGTAATTTTAGAAATAAACAATCTATAGGTATTCAAAATAGGTCATGATTACTCAAAATCAAACACTTGATCTGATCTCTGTGATATTTCATAAATACTTTTTTTGGAAGCTCAAATATCACATAAATTTTTTTTAATTTATACCTACAGAATGGGATTTTTGTGGGTCACAAACAATATTTTCCATTATATAGGATATTTCACTAAGAGGGATGTAAAACCAAGATTACGGAAGGAAAAGATTTGGAGGACTTTTGCCAGTGAAAGTACTTTTTTCTGATAAACAGCTTTTATGTGTTTTGTATTTTATTTATTTTCAGCACAATTCGTTGTAGAGGTTAAGCCTCTCTCAGATTTGCAATCAAACCATTGTATTAATATGAAAAACTTCCAGAAACAGCTCAGACAATGTAATGCCCTATATTCAAGTACTTCACATGCACAAAGCATATCAAAACCATATTTTGCCTCTAGTACTAATTATGTGTATATTTTTTATTATATCTATTTGCATACATAGTGCTATATGAACACTGGAGAAATATATTATTTAAGGGACTCATTTTGGAAAAAATTCATTATCTTTACTAGATGTGGACACATGGCTTTCTTTTATGAATATTTTTCATTTAAATTTAAAGTCAAGTTTTGAAAAAGTAGTTCTAGTGATGGGATAACAATTTAGTAATTAAAAGGAAATGACGACATGGCATTAGGAAAAATATCTGTTTGCGTTCAGAAAGGACACATGCATAGATGCATGTGAATGGCTACAGTGTTTTAAATCTTTTTTCAAAAGTAACCATATGAAATTAAATTCCAATCATTTTAGTTCTTGTGCAGCACCTTTTATCACGTGATGGCTAAATTTTATTTTATAAAGTTACTCTAAGTTCTAATTTGCTACAATAATAATCTGATATTTTAATTAAAATCATGCAAGATGTAGCAGTCTTAATGTGTTTCTGCATTATTCCAATTTGCATCCCAAAACCAAGTAATTCCAGATGGAAAAAGGCCCATTAAAAAGAGTCAATAAAGAAATACAGGAATATTGTCTGGTTTTGGAATAATAATTGCGTAAATATGTCTAGGAAATGTATGCATTTCTGATTTAAGTAAGATTTTGGAGGTAACAGTCATTTTGCTAATAATAAAAAAATTAATATGGCAACAACTGTTTCCTCAGTGTAAATATAAATTATGTTTACCACAAGCTCCTGTAAACGTTTTGACAATGATTTATAAGTATGTCTAATAAAAATGTTATATTTTTTCTATTCTAGAAGACAGCTAAATATTTTATAAATATAATTCAAAGTAACATATTGGTTTGTTTTGAATATCTTGTTTATTTTTGTGGTTTTTTTTTTTTTTTTTTCTTAATAAAAATGCCTCTTCTCCTAAGAATGCTTTGAATTAAAGCAGGTAGTTTATTTTTGTTGTTGTTGCTGAAGTAGGTTGTACTTCTTTCTCCCCTAATACTAATTTGGTAACTTAAGCAGCTCTTGAACATTTGCAGTATATATTATTAAGGATTAAGCCTCAAATTTATTTGTATAGGTAAAGAACCTGGTATTGCACAGGTCAAGTGGTTTCAGCATGAACAATAAAGCAATATATTTAAAGAGGTGTTAGTGTCTCCTTTCTGAATCCCTTTTTTATTTCAAAGTGCAAATATGGTTATAAATCACATTACCCAATGCATACAAATGATTTGAATTACAAAACAGACTGGAATATCTGCATCTTCTGTTTAACCTGTGGAGATGACTCATATAATTGAATGGGAATAGGGATACTATACTTATGTATAAACTTTGACTAACTTATTTTAAAGATAAGTGCTTCATGGAGGAGTGAAGAATATGTCTGAGATACCAATAGGATTAGCTTTCTGTATGGCAACTAATCCACTAAATGACTCTCCCAAATTTCTCACCTGATTTATTCAGAACAGATTATTCAAAAGGATGTACCACCTCTGCACTTCTCTATCAAATTGCCCTTTTTTGTTTAAGAGAGAGAAAGTGCTTCTCTGTTTAAGTATAATAAGAAGCACAATTAGGAAAATATACCCATTTCAGAAAGGCTATGATCAACAGAGTTTATTTAAACACCATTTTCCTCTGTGCATAGTTTGTACCCACCTCTGTCCAGAGAAAAATCTCTTGAAAAAATGTCTACAAACAATAACCCCCCAAGTCAGTGGATATAACCAGAAGGTTACCCTTTTCCAAAAACTCCACTGGCAGGAGTGTGCACAGTTTGGATGCTCTCTGGACAAATCTCCCATGGGAAAAACAAGCACCTTTTTTCTGCAGGCAGTTACTGTACGTGCTGGAAGATGAGATCTGGAGAACAATCTGTGGTGGTGACCACTTTTTGAAATGTATGTTCTCTACATGAAAGACTAATAACAAAAGCATATTCCACTTCACCCATGATATTTTTTTTTAAATGCTTTCAAACTGTGATTTTTGATACATGGTATGTGACACTTCTTACATGAAAATCAGATGGAAGCCCAGACATTTTGATACCAGCTGCTGCACAGAAGACAACTTTTCATCTTTGGAAGCTTATACTTCCCCACTGAAATACAGGTTCAGTGGCAGGGAAGATCATGAGCACCTGACTATTTGGCAAAATAAATGCACTAAAAGATTTAAGAACTCATCAAATATAAAAGAGTTGTGTAGCAAGTACTCAGCTTGACTCTGCTACTAAAGGACTATCTCTGCCTTCTTCTGGATCTTGCTTCCCTTGCCTCCTGGAGAGCAGCAAAAGTCCTGGAGTCTGTTCAACATTGCTAACTTCCTGTTTGTCAGTATCAAAGAAACCCTGCCCTGTCATTTTGAAGACTTTTTATAACTTGTTGGCCTGTGATGATCTGGCATCATACCCACACTGCAGCATGTGGGACTGAAAAATACCTGAAGTACCCTTGTGGAGCCTTGTTAGAGATTCTCCTTCCATGAATCACAGAATCACAGAATAATGAGGTTGGAAGAGACCTCGAAGATCATAAAGTCCAACCTATGCCCTAACACCACAACTAGACTATAGCACCAAGTGCCAAGTCCAGTCTTTTTTTAAACATATCCAGAGATGGTGATTCCACCACCTCCCTAGAAAGACAATTACAGTATTTTATTATTCTTTCAGTGAAAATTTTTTTCCTAATATCAAACCTAAATCTTCCCTGCCATAGCTTGAGACTGTGTCCTCTTGTTCTGCCAGTTGCTGCCCAGTGGAAGAGATTGACCCTCACCTTTCTACAACCTCCCTTCAGGAAGCTGCAGAGAGCAATAAGGTCACCTCTAAGCCTCCTCCTCTCCAGGCTAAACAACCCCAACTCCCTTAAACATTCCTCATAGGGCTTGTGTTCCAAGTCCCTGCTGCCTTTTGCAGTCAGTGACAGCATCTGGTGGGTGCTCTCTGTTGCCTTGTGGGCATCAGGCTGGGGGTCCCCAGGGCAGGAGGACAGCTGCTAGGGACCCTGCAATACTGAACACATGGCTCAGGGGCTGCCTCCACCTCTTTCAGCCTTATACCTCCTCTTGCCATTATCTGCACATCCTACTGTGCCCAAAATGGAAAGAACCAGTTCTCACACCCTGTCTGCCTGGTAATGAGTTTCTTAATAGAGCAACAAAAAGGAAAAGCCTTTTCTTTGTGAAATGGTAGGGGGAAAAAAGAGGAGTGGTATTGAGTGTCATAGGAAGAAAATGCAGGAAATATGCTTTGCATCCAAAATTCTCCCACATTAGGCCCAAACAAGGTGATATTACAAGTGTATGCCACAAAAGCTATCAAACAGCAGGGAAGGAA